GAAGTTTGATGTAATATGATCGTGATCCTTCAGTGTAGAAATAGAAAGCTTCCTCTGCGATGGGTTCGGATCTCTGTGATAAATTTGAATGTTATGCTTCAAAATATCCTTTAGCGGACGAATTCGTAGTCTCTGCCGACCCAATTTAAGCAGGCAACCGACTCACGATCTACTCAGCCCCAAACTGGGTTTTCGCTCTATGGCCGAATCTCACGATCTCAGCGGTATGGAACTAAATGGTAGAATCATTGAACATATCCGCCTTCAGGAGTCCAAGATGTACTTATACGCAGGAAGACCAATAACCCAGTGAGCTTTAGGTGAAGCGCTCTTAACTTTCCTCCGTTATAAGATCAGGTCGAGCAGAACTACAACGACAAGAAGTAACCGTCTTATTTATCGATGCGTGCGCTAAGTAGACGCGGAGTAGCTTCGTTAGTAATCAGTGCCTCGACTTTATAGGAATAATAGTAAGGCTAGTTGTGGACGATCCGTCTGAGTGCCTCCCAGAACATCGACCTCTGAGTCGTCTTCTTCCATAAATTCCGCCCAATTTTGTAGTCCGATCTAGCTGCAATGGTGAGTTCGCAGACACTGAGTCGTCTGGAACTTTCCGCCTTGTTTTTTTTAGCTTCGCCTCTCTGTTTTTTTGGCTCGAGACTTCCTGCCACAAAAACCAACATCAGTACTACCAACAGCGGTATTACCACCCCCCAGTAGTGTCATTACCTTGCCTTGGCGCCTTGACCTTACCGCAATCGACCACCCTCGACATGACAGCCTGTCTATTTCTTTACACTCTCTACCAGCATTGCTGCGCTTTGTCTTACTTCCTACCCGACATCAAGGATTATCGTACTACCACAGGCATGCCAAGCCTAACACTAGTAGCCTCTAGCTGGCCGTGTCGCATCGTAGGGCCTGTCGAGGAGCTACAGGCAATGTTTCTTGTTCGCCGCCAGTAAAAAGTCATCTTACTTGGCCCCATCAGCGTCAGGTCAGAGATCCTTGTCCGGCCACATCTGCTGCTGCTGCCGCTGTCTATAGCGGCAGCGAGATGTATTCCGTATGTGTCCACTCGGCCGATTCGTTAGTCGGCGTCTCAAGTATGCTGTTTATTCCGCGACGACCGTCGCAGACCGGTATGGTTATGGTTACTGGAATGCTAACGCAAACTTCCCCTACCCCAGCCGAACCCTAAATTCCCCTTTCCGATGCTGATCGACAACTCGGCAATCGTATGCAGACGCCCGCCAAAACATAGCCACTACTACTACTACTACGTTATTACTCCAATAGCTAGGCCTTGTAGTGAACAGCATTAAGCGAAAAACACATCTAGGTAGTCAGTGTTTCCACACAACCTCCTCCCGCATACTTATTTAATTTACGAGGATATTACTCGATATCATCTGCTCAATGGGAGAGTACTCTTTGAGCGTAGCATAGGTCCTGCCGTAGTAGCGCAACAGTGATTTGCAGGATTTGTATCAGATCGTAACGCAACTGCGAAGAGCCGGCAATTCCAGTCCCTTCCATCCATTATTTTTCACCGCTTCGAATTGTGGGACGAAGGTTAACATTTAGCGATGAGCGGGTCTTACACACCAGCGACGTCACTGGATGAACGGAGCAAACGTCGAGGAAGCACACAAGTTGACCCGCCCACACGTCTCTAACTGATGACCTGACGACTTGGCTTTCTAACTTCCGTTTTTCATCCTAGCTGCGCAGCGTCTCCGGCTGCAGACTCAGTGTGATACATCAATCTGCTAAGTTTATACTACTGACTATTGGGCCGGATGACCGAGTTAAAAGCCTGTGGATCCGAACGCCTGCAGGCCAATCTTCAACTAACTCCGTCGTCGATCGGTAACGGCAGGGGTGTTTTGGGAATCAATAATTGGTGCCGTCTTTGTTTGGTGTTCACCCTTTAGCCTGCCCCTTTCCGCTTTTCGACCTCATGTACGCGTTTTGTTCTATGCAAAAGCATCTAAAAGAAGACGAAGACTCCTACCGCCTACACCAAAGGTGTGGCATGGGGCGCGGATGAGGTGTTCGTTGTTGCTGATGTTCACGATAAGACTGGCGTTTCTGATGTGACTGCCCAGCGTTGTAGTCTCAAAGTGCCGGCCCGGGGCGACTGCGTATCCTCTGTGGAGAAGGCTCGCTTATTCGCCCCAGCTAGCAACTTAAGGCAAGCAAACCCATTAAACTCTCTCGTGATCGGGGTGGTTAGAAAACTAACACTCGCTATTTACACATCTTTCGGTTACCGGTACTGCTGTTATGTAGGAAATCTAAGAAAAGGAACGAGGTTGATTGTTGTAATGATCAACCAAAAAGCGAAGCTCAACAACTCACCGATAAAATCAAACCCTCACTACGCTACTACGCTTATTCACGGAAAGAATTCGTAGGTGCTTATTGATTTCCATCAGACTCTAATTCTACTCCTGGTATGTTTAGCTTTCTCAGTCATCGCACTATCGCAATCTAAGAGTGACAGGGGCACAATGGCTACCAGAGCAATTAGTAGAATTGAACATTGAATGAAATGGCTGCGGTGCCGCTACTTCGATGGGATAGCAGTGCCCACCCGTGGCTGACCTCACGAAGACAGAAGACTGGGTAGAATAGCTTACTTCGGGCAACTGCATTTGGGCTACCCCGAATTAATAAGTACGTAGTCATTGTCAGACAGCGAACCATTTTACGAAACTAATGTTTTTCGCCGTATCTCAGGGCATTCATTTCCACTCGGTATTTTGCATTTGTTTGTTAAACTTTGAAGGAGCTGAGTATACATTTGTATCAGATCCGTATGCTATGCACATTTACATGCTACCGTCTGATTTCACACTATGTTCTACTACACACTACTATCCACACAGAGAACTATGACGATTTGCCCCCAGAAAAAGGTAATTAGACCTCTCTTATTTTCAATTTCGACATTGATGTATGTACGTTACACCTTGCGCGAAATAGTCAGGTACTCGCAAGGCTGAAGTTTTGTAAAATATATTATACGTGTTCTGGTATGATTTGTTTTCGTCATTATTGTTGCAGAACTTAAAACACCTATACACCAGTCTGTTTTTAATGGGCAATAATATTTGTGGAGTGCTAGGAACCGACTGCAGATACCTAGTACACAATAGTTCTAGAAACCTGCCGTAGCTTAGCTTATTATCCAAACATGATTCCACCCAACGTTGTACAACTTTTGGCGCGCATCCGCGCCAAGGTTCGGCGGAAACAACGCCAAGCGCTGGGCGACTCGCGCGCTCTCGACCGCTGCGCCGTATCTAACATTTGAAATGAGTGGGTGATCGCGCGCAATGAGTTATGATTGCTGCAGCACTGGCCTTTCTCAACTTTGTTATCCTCTACCGCACCTTCTGGACCGTCTGGCGACCACCAGCTTCTGGACTGTTACTATTAGGCTTTGCCCCTTCACCCTCCTCCCGCGCCCCCGCGGGGGCGTCGTAGTCATCGCCTTTATCATTGTGCATCTGTTCACTCAAATCACAAATGGTCAGATTCTCTTCGAACTTCTTCTAGACGTCGTTTCTCAGGTTAGAGTCGTTGCCAGCCGCCATACAGAATATCGTGATGCTACCCCATGCCTGTTCGAAAACGCACTATGTGTCCACTGATCTGAGCGCTACAACCTACCCTGATCTGGTCTGTCTGCCTGTTGTTCCGTCTGTTTCGCCAACCCTTGGCTTCGAGTCACCAGTACACTTCTCCTGATTACTCACTCGGCACTCATCGTCGAGACTGTCGCCATTTGTACAACTGCGCGAGCTGCAGCAGTGACGACTTGCATTATGAACCCTCACTCGTTATCGTTTCCTGCAGTGAACCCCTCGACGAGATCCGTTCGTCCACCTAAAAGAACCCCACGTGGGGCGGTTGATCTGGTTAGTTCAACAAGTAGCCACAATAAGTATTGACTATTGTGGTATATGTGTCAGCTCCGTCGTCGTCCTCGTCGTAGTTAGTGTGTCGGTTGTCTCAATGGTCGATTTTGCCTGGAGGCTTTCTCCTCTCGGCGACCAGCCAGAGTTTGAATTTAACTTAGAAATTCAACTTCAGCCTCTTCTGCCGCTACTTCTTCGCTAAGAGTCCTTATGTCGACGCTAGCCGCTACTCTGGGCTTCGGCTGGATTAGTTCCTTCGGCTATGTTCTTCTGCAAGAAATTGGTACATCTATGCGTGAGAGCGTACCTTAATGACTTCCATGTTCCATCAATAATGCGGTCGTATCAATAGTATAGTCGCACCCTCTACGCCCTGTCTGCTGCACCGGCGCTGGCGCTATCTTGCCCATTTACCGTATTATAGTATTATACAATAGTGTCACTATAACAGATATAAAGCTACACTTTTCTTGGGTACTGGTTCTTCGACTCTCCTTCTGCCTCTTCCTGCCTTCTTTTGTCTCTGTATCTATAGATTCTCTATCTATCTGAGCACCCTATGCTTCATAAGCATCACATACATAAAGATAGGTACTATGGGCGCTTACGGCGTTATCGGCTAGTATTGCTACCTCTACGACGAACTATTATAGCCACCATCCCCAGCATCATCAGCATCATCATCGTCGTAATCGCGGTTCTGCCCTATTCTCTAATATCCTATAGTCGTCGTAGAAACATCAGCGGAGTCGTCGGCGCCATCAGCAGCAGCGCGGCGAGCACCAACGCCGCCAAACACCCACCATCACTACCGGCCATCTGCTTTCCAAGCTGGCCGCCATCTGGTGTTCCTCCTCTCCGCTGTGAGCTCCTGGCGCTGGTGTCGTTCGCTCCCCACCGGTTCTATTCTATGGGCGTCAATGGGGCCGCGGCTTGGCGCTCGAGGAGCTTACGGGTTGGCTGGTTGCTGCTTCGTTGGTTCGCCTGGTGTCGCCGCCGCCGCCGCCGCCGCCGCTGGTGCTCCTTTAGTTGCTGTTCTGTCTATGGCAGGCGGCTGCTGTTGCTCCGGCTGTGTGAGTGAGTGAGCGCCGGTACGCGAATGAACGACTGTGTGACGGCTCCGTCCGCTTGCTTCTGCCTGAATGTATGCGATGTGTGCGTAGTCTCTGTCGGTTGTGTGGACTCCGTGAGCCAGCCCGCGCCTGTTTGTATTTCCTCCTCTCCAGAGTGCCCCGGTAGACTTCAGCTGGCACGGGCCGCTCTGGTGTCAGTTCGTACCAAGACCACGCGGGAGATAGTCGCGTCTCGTGTTGAAACAGAAGCAAACCATAATAACAACGGTAGCTGTAACAGCTTGTCGTTGCCGCCTTCGTCATTGTAGTATCACTAGTAACTGTAGTCATCGAAAAAAACCTGCTAATCACCGTGTGTGCCACAAAGGATATATGCATTCATTCTACGTGCGCAGTCAGCCTGCGTGTCTACCTATGTACATAGAGCAAAACAGTACATCGACAAATGTGTGTGCGTGAATGTTTGTTCAGTTCTGTTAGCGCAACGCCTTGTGAACGTGACCCTTATTACTCTTGGATATTTTGAACGTCATGAGGACCATGCCCTGCCGTGCTATGTGGTGACTGCGCGAATTGAGGACTTTAACCTCCCCCTATTCGTATGCGAGTATAATATATATATATACATATACATATACATATACATATATATATATATATATATATATATATACACATATTCTGGTTATCGTCACCGAACGGTATCTCGCGCTCAAAATGATGACCATACCTAGTGTTGTCGGTTGCTTATCTGCTGTGATCTTCGTCACCGCCAGCTTTCTACAAGTAAGAATACCTACGGCATTCATTTTTACGTACTTGTATATATATATATTGCATATGCGCGGTGTGATTGAACAACGCAGAAGACAAACCATACTTTCTGACACTTCTGCTCGTTTTGTTTATCTCTGTTTTGTTGTTCAGCTCGTCACTAGGCCACGGTATATCTTACTACCTACACTTCATACTAGTTATGTCTGCAGTATATTGACATATACACAAGCGCACACAAAACGAAATAATTAAGGCAACCAATTTTAATATGGCGTCGTCATGAAGGCTATATCAAAGATGACGGAGACGGCGAATCTGTATCATTTTCCACAACTAGTACAGGAGATAATCAGCCAAGTAACGATCCGACCGACGACCGAAATGGGGAGTGGCATCATTAAACGATCGTAACAACGCGATAGTCTTATCATCTGATTTTGCCTGGATACCACGAGCAATAATAGGGTAGATACAACGACCTGCCGACGGACACACATAGATATAACACCGATGAGATAGCCAGCTCTCACTGCTTCCCAGCTACTGGCTAGAACCGCGCGTACGTACGTGGCATCTTTGTCCGTCCCCACGTTCGGACCGCCGAACAACGTCGAATGCACGAGAGCTTATCGCATTATCTTCTTAAACGTTGTGCTTTCTCGACTATTCCTTTGTTGATCCATTGCACGGCGGACACCTTTCCTTACCGGCCCACCAAGCGACTGCCTGATATTTCGGTGCGTGGCGTCATCGCTCGCTTATAGCTGGTAGCAGTGGAGCGACTAGGGACCGATGCTACCTGTCGCAGTGAAGATGTTTCTGTGCGCGAAAATGTCACTGCTGTCAAGATAGACATGACCACTGTTGCCACCGTCGGGGGTCGCGGAGGTTCCCACAGTCGGACACGACTTGTGATGGCTGTGTGGCTAACGCACGGTGGTGGTTCAGATCGGATGCTGTCGGATTCTGCTTGTTTTGTCTAATGTTAACTGGTTGCTTTCTCGGCTCGTTGCTAACTTCATTGCTGGCAGCTTCAGTGATCGTAGCTACCACGTGTGAGGTTTGCTACCGCCGAAGTTCATTTAGCGTTCACTACTGTTCTGAAGTTTACTAAGTTAATTTCTGTTTTCTCACCATGTATCTCGGCCGTAACGGCCCGGGTCTACCATGGCTCTTGTGTTTAGAGAAGCAGCGGTAGAATGTAATATATAGCAACGATAGTGAGCTAATCAGACGGTTAAAATGGTACGGAGTCAAGCCAGAGGAACTGAAATGGAAAACATGAATCTACTTGCCGAGATTATCATCAGTAAGATCAAATTTAGGTGGAAAAGCCCACGAGTTGAGTCCGCCACGGTTGATGATTTTTCACTCACCTGTAAAACACTCAAGTTATCATTTTGTGATAACAGTTGTGTATCTATCTATTGCAAAGATATACAACTCAATTTAACGTCGACCGCTAGACGTAACCCCGTTTCTCAACTTGAACTTCCAGCTGCTGCTGCTGCTCCAGCCTCTCCTCGTACGTTCTTTACGAGAATACTGCAATAATTGCAACAACTGTTGTATACATAGGCAATTCATGTCATTCTCAGCTGTAGATTTATCCGGTTTGAGTGATGGTAGTAGCGACCTGAGATATATTCGAGGCTCTGCACAGTTGCATGACGGGTTGAGCCAAGCTTCCGCTGAACGTAGTACCAAGGTCGAGCAGAAGCGGCAGAGCCAGCAGCAGCACCAAAGGACACAGGCCCTACAGCGATCTAGCCGGAAGCCGCTCTCCATCATCGCTATTCTTTCCTACTTAACTTCAATGTCCGAAATAGGGGTACTACCTTATGACTGCTTAAACTATCACTTCGTATCGAGCAATTTCTGACCACGTCTGCAAGTTCAGCCCACAAACGGTTATGTCGCCTCGGCAACATCACTCGCCGCGGATCCTCCTACGTGAGGTTTCCCAGCGTCTTTTCGTCTTTGTGCCTCAACAGTTTCTATTAACTAGTTTACCTAGTTACTCCTGAGATGATCACCCTTACACTATGTGCTGACAATAAAAAGGCCTGGTAATCATCTATCGCTTTGGTGGCTTAATAAATGAAAAATTTCCGATGATGGCCGCGTCAGGAGCAGTCATTGAAAATTCGACAATTCTGCAACAACAAGGCGCCCAATTTCGAAGCGATGAGCAGCGTCGTGAACATCTGCTTATGACGGGGCAGCTGCTCGAATACGCAAGAAGACGCTTGTTTTACTTCTACTATTAGCGTGTTAATACCACCCTTCTACCGCCGGTGTTGTTTGCCAAAGTTGAACAATCAATTTGTCAGTGAATTAGAGTCGTAACGTTTAGCTCTATCCTTTATCTACGTTTTCGTTTGTTCTATAGTACAGGCCACAGGCAAAAACATAACTGGATTGGCCTCAACACGTCTGCTAAAGCAACAGTGTATCCAAAAATAACAAAAAACCGAAGATAGGATAATGCTATCATTGCCATTGGTGTGTAACGTGACTTAATCATCATTGGCTAGTTGATTGGAACGCGTTTATCTTTTTTTTTCTCGCTGTATATCTTGTCATTCGAGTACGCCGGATGAATAGATACCTGTGTAAATGGTTTACTTGTCGTCTAGTTAGCTGGTTGTTGCCATTTACTTGTTGGACTCAGGTCCCTGTAGTCTGTTTGAATCGAGTATGGCTAAGAGAGAACCGCGACGCGGTGTCACCTTACCCAGGACAACAATGGCAATTTGAAGCAGCTAGCAGGTCCGGCGCGAACAACGTGAGCCGTTTTGTCCATCTTTTACCACCATCACGGTTACCGTACTACCAGTGACTTTTGTAAGCGCCAATATTGTTCCAGTAAGAAAATTAAGGAAAGATCACGAAAAGCGACGTTTTTACGTGTGCTGCTGCTGGCGGTCGTTTTATAACCAGCGTAGAAACAATAGCAACAGCGGCACCAACAGCACGCAGACGGTCGCGACGAACAGTTGTCCCGTCCATCGGTGTCGTTGCGCGATAACCAGGCGGCCACGCCAGCCGTAGAAGTTGCCAGCGTTTCGAGGTACTCCAGCAACAACAGCAGGCGGATACCAGTCACTGCCTGGCCGTCACTCCGTTGTTCGCCAGCGAGCGCCAGGTGCTAGAGCTCCGGTGGCATCTGGCCAGTCGCTCACTAGCGGCAATAGTATATTACTACTAGTAAAGGTCGTATAAGTAGTTTTCTCTATGGTACTATGTATGGATGGATGGACGGCCTGCGTGTGACGGCCTGTGTGTACGCTCCTTCCTTCCTTCCTTCTCGTTGCAGCAGCCGGACCTGTATGCCGGCCGGAGTAACAGTGGCGAACGATGGTGCGACTAGGAGAGTCGGGGATTGCTGCCGCCGATGACAACGAACTGACTGGAGTCGCTCGGCTTGATGCTGTCTCGGCTGATGTTTGGTTCCCACAGCGTCTTGTCAGGTCTTCGGCTCGGTCGGGGCTCGTCTGTTCGAGGCCGAAAACCCTGTCTCTCCTACACTCTCGGGGGCGGAATGGCAGATGTCCCTCTTAAAACTGGGAAATCAGCACACCACCGTGCGCTAACCAAAGTACACACACATGCACACCATAAAGATGGCCACGCTCGTTCATACCTGGCTGGCGATATGCTATATACATAAAATTATGACTATCAGTCACTTTGGAGAGCATATGCGAGATAGAAGGCCAGTAACGATTAGCAACGAATCGGATGGGAACATAGGGGCATCTGATACACTTGAAACTGCCCCAACTAAAAACAACTTCGAGCTTATTCAAATGCAACAAGTCTACCAAACAACAAGCAAACAAGTATAACATGTTCTTAATTCACTAGCAGATTATTATTTAGGTTCATTCAACCGAAATTGACGCTATACATGTCAAGGTAGGTTAGACAATGAAAATTTCACGTATGTTTTTTTCTTTTTTGTGTGCATTTTGTCTATAAATTTACAGAGCGCGATAGCAAGTGGCGTCTTTCAATTAAAGGTCGAAAGCTTGAACATGACAAAGGAGCTCAGTCGTCAGGATGTTCTCCGGCTAAGAATATGTTGGAGCCACTTCCAGAGAGAGATCAATGCTGATAACGTAAGTATACCAGTATACGAAAATTGCTCTACTAAATCACTGATTAGCATCAGGCAAGTAAAAACTAGGGAGATCAAAGCGGAAGACATCATCTGGCTCACTCTATCATACTCTTTCCTTTTTAAATGACACCTCTCGAGCGTGTCGAGTTTTTTCTCGTCGCGCTTCGACTTTTTTCGCCAGTCGTAGCTTTTCCTCCATTTGCCTCAAGTTCCTCTTTCCAGTGTGCTGGTCCATTGCCATCGCAGTCGTCGGCTTCCTTTTCCTCGTCGCCGTCACGGTCTTTATCTTTTTTTTGTCGTAATATTAGTCAGGGTAGTAGTACTACTCCAGTTCTTTAGGCGTCTGCGTTAGCCATGTGGACATGCATGGCTAGCGTGCCCAACTAATACACTTCCTCTAAAACACAAATATCTGTCTCTTACTTTTCCTCATCCATGCTAGCCCGAAATAACCTACCGCGGCGAGCAAGAACTGCCAGCATGCATCTCACGTGTCTACCGCCGCCGCGTTAGTCCTCTGGCACTAGTTCTTTAATTCTTTTGGCACTCATCCGCTGTCACTCTACCGCCTTCCTCCGAAGTCCTGTTTTCTAGTTTCCTGTTTCTAAAGGAGCCAGACTTTACATCTGCAATGTTTCTTCTCCAATATCATCGTCAGCGTCAGTGTTATTGTCGTCGTCGTCATGGTCGTTTCTTTAGGCCACTTTTCCACTTCCCCCTTCCGACTCTCCCTAACTTTACCTCCATCGGAGTCACTCTTCGCTTTCGACCTGGACCGACCGATACGAATACAGGATGTAGCTTTCCCTGTCTCCTAGCCTGACTCTGTCAGGCCTAAAACACATGCTGATCTTTTTTCCGGTTCTGCTGCCGTGTCCTACTGCCGCTGCCATCGCTGGCTGCTTGTGTCGCTGTTCGTCTTTCTCTCCTCCGCCTTTTCTGTTTACCTCCTTTTTGTCTACGGTTTCCTCTTCTCCTATCTCTGTACCTCTATCCATTTGATCTCTCTCCACTTCGTTTTCTTCTTCGATATCGTCGTAGTCTTTTACTCGCAGAGGTGCTGTGTTTTCCCCCCTTCTATCTTCCTGCTTCAAAAGGGACTTTGGGGGTGCGAGCTAGCGACCCTGATCCGCTGGCTGTTGCTGTCGCTGCCGCCGTCGCCGCCGCTGACCCTGGCCGTCACATCGTACTCATTTTCTTCGTCGTCATCTGCTGCGTCATTTCGATTGTTGGATCTCTGGTTGTTTCGGCAATTGGCGGCAATGTGGTGGACCGCCAGATGGTCTCGGTAAGAGACAGCTCCCCATTCTGACTAGTGAGCTCCAGGCGTCCGGCAGCGGAGCGGCCGCCAGCGACCGGCAGCAGATTCACAGCGGCCTATTGCCGGGCCGCTGTCGCTTTCGCGGGTTGGTCCTCATTTACTGACTGGTTGAATGCTGTTGTCCGGTATTTTCTCGAAAAGAGTCTGCTGCTTACTTGATCTTAATACGGGTCCTCGGCCGGCCGGTTGGCCAGCTTGTTTGTAGCTTATTTCCTAATCTCGGCCTACGTTTGTCGTTAGGTGCATATACATAACTGTCGACTTGTCTGCCTGGCGGTTTGCGCTGCAGACTCGCATGTGGTCGGCGTCGCGTAACGCGTGCCTGATGCTGTCGCCCTCCACCGGGTGTTAGCCGTAACCGTCGAGGCCTTCCACAGTTGATTAGCTAACATTAAGTGCAAGCATCACCTTTTTCGTTATGACCGACGATAGAATGAATAGATAGATTGCCATCATAACCTCGTCAGAGCCACAGCAGAATCAACGTCACAGATACAGATTGTTATTATTATTGTCTTTGTCGTTGTAGTCAAGCGTTGCTGTTACTGATACTGCGTTGTCGCCAGATTAGCAACAGCAGCACGAAAATTAACATCACAGAGGTATTTCTTCTTGTTATTGCAGATGACGTGTACGTACGGCGAGTCCATTAGCGCACCTCTGAGTCTGCCGTACCCAGCCAACTCATTCGAGGTGTCGATGCCGTTCGACTTCGGCTGGCCGGGCACCTTTGCGCTTGTCGTCGAAGCTTGGCTTGAATCTAAAGTGCCCACCTCAGCACCAGCGTTGCGTCTGACATCATCCCAGTTCCTTGCCATCAGCCAGGAATGGTCGAAGCCTGACCTCGCTCGGTCCCCCGTAAAAATTGCCTTCCGCGCCGTCTGCTCTGCTCACTACTATGGTATCGCCTGTGATCGCCTGTGTCGTCCCCGTAACGACCGCTTCGGCCACTACGAATGCGACGAGGAGGGCAACAAGGTCTGCACTCGCGGCTGGGCCGGTGAATATTGTGATAAACGTAAGTATTGTTCGTTTCATTTCTTCGTCTTCATTGTGGCTCTTGTTGTGGCCGTCATCATCACCATCATCATCATAAGTTGACGATCGTGTCCTTCTGTCGTTTCATTCAGTTCATCTGATCCATCCCTTGCTGATCTCTCTGTGTCTCTCTCTGCCTGTTTCTGTCTGTCTGTATTCTGCTCCGCCCTCTCTTTCGCTATGGCTATCACAACCACCTACCTGTAAGCTCTAAAGACTCACAAGCTGTGCGCTTACAATGCATTTCCGCCTGCCGTACTGCTTAACGGACCTGGCGACCATCTGTCTTCATTTTTCTGCTTCTGCTCCTTTTCTTCTACTTTTGTCGATTCTCCCGCCGCCGCTACCTGTCTCTGAGAGCGATGATGGTGATGATGGCGCATACGAAAAGAAACCAATAGCGCATAAGAAACACAGCGGATATCTAACCTGGTTTCTTAATTTTTGCCTTGCAGCGGTATGCAGACCTGGATGCAAAGGCTCGTGCAGCAAGCCGTTCGGCTGCGACTGCCACTTCGGTTATGAGGGCGCTATGTGTGACCAATGTGTTCGCTTTCCCGGATGCAAGCACGGTAGCTGTAACCAGCCGTGGCAATGCAACTGCGACGAAGGATGGGGCGGGATGTTGTGCAATCGTGATCTCAACTTTTGTACTAATAACGCCCCGTGCCGGAACGGTGGAACCTGCCTAAACTCGGGTGATGGTCGTTATACCTGCAAATGCCCAATCGGTTTCGGTGGAAAGAACTGCGAGCAGGTGATCAAAGGGTGCGCGGCTCTACCTTGCATGAATGGTGGAACCTGCAAGGAAGTGTCGAACACAACCGACTACAGCTGCCGCTGTCGTGAAGGCTTTTTCGGTGTCCACTGTGAATTTCGTAATGAGACATGCGACACGAAGAAATGCGAAAATAGCGCAACATGCCGAAACACCATCTCAGGTCCCCAGTGCATCTGTCCGCAAGGCTTCGATGGTCCTAATTGCGAGCACAAGATTAATCCATGTGACGGTAATCCCTGCATGAATGGTGGACGGTGCACAAATGGCGAAAAACCATATGCCGATGCCCCATTCCGTTGTACTTGCCCCGAAGGATTTTATGGGCACCGATGCGAGATCCGTGACCATTGCCAGCCAAACCCGTGCTCAAATGGTGCCACCTGCCAAAGTCACGGTGATGGCTTCAAGTGCTTCTGCCGAAAGGGCTTCACGGGAGCCAACTGCACAGTTCAAGTTGACCACTGCGTCCTCAAGCCCTGCGCAAACGGAGGCACCTGCTTTTCACGACAAAACGACTTCGAATGCGCGTGTCCATCAGGTTTCAGCGGGAAGGATTGCTCATTGAACGTGGATGAGTGCAAGCCGAACCCTTGCAAGAATGGAGGCCAATGCACGGACCTCATCGACGGCTATAAATGTACTTGCAAACCGTCATTCACCGGAGCCAATTGTGAATACAGTATGTCTTACAAATACGGAGCGTATGGTTCCAAGTTGAAGCAGATCCCCGAGGCCGATGTGGTGACCGCCGCCCAGAAGGCAACCATTCTGACGCTTGGGATCCTGCTCGTCATTTCGATTGCACTTGGAGCTGTTGCCTATTATCGCAAGTACCGACCGAATCAAGTGGCCATGCGACAGAACAAAGAGAACTCGGCACGGGCAGCGGCTATGATGAACAACTCAATCTATCGATCCGGTGGAAGGAGCGACTCGCTTATGAGGAACTCGTTGCGACCTGGTGATGTTGGTTCCCTACGCTATAGCATGACGCCCGGCCTAATCGCTGATCCCTGCGGTGCATTTGTACGACCTCAGCCCAAACTTCCTTCACCAGCCATCAAAATTAATGACGAATTGAAGAACAACAACAAGACGTTACCAAGGCTTGGCACTGACGCGCACGTGTACGCTACTGTTCACGACTACGTCGATGGGGTCGAGCCGCAGTTCTCACGGTACTCGGTCGTCCGAGGCAGTGGGCTGTACTCAAATAATAACAATAACAAAGTGTTAAACACGAGACAAGAAGAGAACCATTATGAGAATGTGAAGAAAGCAAACCCCTCAAGTGGAGACCTCAAAGCCGACCTCAAGGCAAAAACAGGGGGTTGCCAGAGCAACAAATCAGCGAATTTTGTCTGCTCAGCACCTCTGAAGAACAACAATAACACAAATCATAACAACAATAACAACAACAACCACATCAGTAATAATACTAGCTGTAACAACAGTAGCAGTCACCACGCCGTCCATAATACGAGCAGCAGCAAGATTTGCAACGAGAAAAGCGCCGGGGCAAATTCGAGCAAGCTCAGTACACAAGTATAGGCCACCTCTGGCTTCGCCATTCCCCGAAGCGCCATGGATACGCACATGATTGGCACCATTATCACTATCGTGTGTATCGTTAGGGGCCTTTATACCTGTTTCTGTTAGATGATGAATTCGCTATGATCTCTTTGCGCCTACCTGCCTACATTCGTGTAATGTGTTTATTTGCCTGGCGCGTTGGTGCAGTTGTTGCAGCACAGCCACACAATATTGGCTGTTTGCTACAGATTGCTGTTGTTGTTCGGCACTACTGCTGTCTTCTGTTAATATTCTTGTTGTTGTAATCAGAGAGAGAGAGAGAGAGAGAGAGAGATAGGGAGATCGAGATAGAGGGAGAGGGAGATCGAGATAGAGGGAGAGGGAGAGAAATTAAAATGGTGGACTAGTACTACAATCAATAGTTATGTAGACTAGCTATACAGGCGTTGTATAATTGCGACACAAACAGAAGATGCATTACACATTGTAAATAATTGCTGTTGAAAAGTTGTTGTTAAAACTAAAGTAGTAAACGGTGCAGTAACATATGCGAGAACCCGGCGGGATCACGGGGGAGAAGACACATAGTTAGGGATAGCTCGGGCAGCTTAAAAGATAAACGAAGCGGAACAACGAAAAAGGGCCAAATAATAAACACAATACAGCATAATGGGAAAAACGAATTGTGAAGACGCTTGTGATGTTCGGCGTATGGCGTAGTTGAGATTGGCTGATTGAGTTACAAATTAATTAACTATTACATAGTAAATAGCGATTGCCAATTTCGACCACGTACATCGCGTCTATCTCATGTAAATAATATCAAAGCGGATCGAACTATATGATGATGATTATATTGACAATAATCTTAATTAATTATAATTATTATATTATTTGAAAAACGTAATAATTGTAGAAAACGGAACAAAGCGAGAGGATTATTTATTTTTAAGAAACCAAAAACATGACC